AGTGTGTCCAAACCTTTCCTGGTGTTGACATTACTAGATTGTTTCAGTGTATTAGTACCAGAAGCATACTGCATTTAGTTGCACTGATGCGTTCTAGTGAGAACCAAAATTGTATTTCTTAGCTGTAAGTAAAAGGTTTTTAAGAAAACATTGAGGCTGAAGGTGACAAAGACAGTGAGAGGTAAAGGAAGAATGGTTTTAAATTACCTTTATGCTAATGTACCCATTAATGACTGCAGAAACCGCGATTTAGGGATAGTTTTCCCCACCAGTGGAGCTTTTGTGTCTCGTGCATTGCAGCAGATCCTGACATCTTTCCATTGCCCGTCTGCCTCACGGCCAATACAGAACTACAGTAAATCCTTCAGCTAAATCCAGGGCTTGTCTCAGCCTATAAAAACACAGCAAGAATTGGACCTTGACGCCCCTCCCAGATGCAGCAGTGCACACTTTATAGCCTGGTGACAGATGGGTAAAACCAACACAGTCACCCCATGTCAGCTGTCCACGGCTCCATACAGGTGTGCTGTATATGTGTTTTGATAGAGACATCTTCCAGCTTCTTTATATGTGACCCTGGACCACAAAACCAGTCTTAAGTCGCTGGGGTATATTTTTAGCAATAGCCAAAAAAACATTGTATCTGGTCAAAATTATCGATTTTTCTTTTATGCCAAAAATCATTAAGATATTAAGTAAAGATCATGTTCCATGAAGATATTTTGTAAATTTCCTACTGTAAAATATGTCAAAACTTAATTTTTGATTGGTAATATGCATTGCTAAGAACTTAATCTGGACAACTTTAAAGGCAATTTTCTCAATATTTTGATTTTTTTGCACCGTCAGATTCCAGATTTTCAAATTGTTGTATCTCAGCCAAATATTGTCCTATCCTAACAAACCATACATCAGTGGAAAGATTTATTCAGATTTATTTATTCAGCTTTCAGATAATGTATAAATCTCAATTTCAAGAAATTGACCCTTATGACTGTTTTTGTGGTCCAGGGTCACATATGAACTAATTAAAAGTCTAGTTTAACTTTAGAGTTTAGTTTTTGGAGTTAGTACCATGCATTCAGTTTGAACTTTATTTCAACAAATAATAATATATTTCAACCAGCAATAACTTATTTTGCTTTTTAATAAATGCAAATATGGATCATAAATCTAGAGTTTTGAATCCATTCATGAAATTTAGTTTGAACTGCTTCACAGAAATGAACTGTACATACCATCACATACTATCATTTTTGCATCTGAAGTTTAAGTTAAAAAAAAATCTTAAGTGGTGAATAAAGCTCATTCTGATTCTAAGAAATCACCCCTACAACAACTTATGAAAGTGAACGATATGTGTTTTACTCGAGCATTACATAAAAATGTCATTTTAACATTAGTGTAATCATTTTAACATGAGTTTAGGAACTGAATAATAAAAAGGAAAAATAAAACACTGCTTAGTATTTACTCTTTGTTGTGGGATAAGCGTCATTTCCGAACAACACTGTTCAGGGTATGATTCCTGGGATGAATAGTGAATCACTTTAAATTTGTGTTTGGAATACACATTTCCGTGCAAAAGTTTTTATTTTTATTTTTTTATATTAATATTCTTATTTAGCTAATACACTGACTGTACATTTATCAAATATGACAGTAAAGGCATTTATAATGTTACACAGGATTTCTATTTCAAATAAATGCTGTTCTTTTGAACTTCCTGATGTATCATGGTTACCACAAAAAATATTAAACACACAGGATCATGTGACACTAAACACTGTAAATAAATAGAGACTGTACACTAAAAAGAGTAAATCCTGCTGAAAATTCAGCTATGGCATCACAGGAATAACTACATTTTATAATGTGTAAGGATGAATGTACATTCATCTGGTTGTTACCGCAGAATAACCTTCAACAGGGTGATCAGGACCCTGGCACAAAGAGGATTACACTACTTCCCACACAAGTAAATAATTGGACACTGTATATTGATTTGAGTCGAAATATGTTATTAGCTCACTGAACGCAAAGCTTCCGTGAAGAAAACAGTCATTAGCAAGCAGCTTTTAGCCAACACAAATGAACAAGTTGAAATTAGACAAACATTTAAGAAATACTGTACAGCCATACCACTTGTAACGGGGCTGACCAGACGTGAGATGTGTGGATCCATCTGCAAGCTTTTATTAAAGAGACGTGGCATAACAGGCAGGGTCGAACAATGGCAAACAGGTATATGGCGGGCAAAAACACAAAAATAGTCCTAGGGCAAGCGTAGGTCACCGATCGGCAGACAGAATCACAGGGGCGAGACGAGAGGGAAAAATCCAGGAAAACAGGCAAAGATCAGAAACCGCAAAAACAGGCAAGGCAAAACAAGGAAAACACGGAGACTCTGAAAGGGGTACAGGCTAAACAATACTCAGGTAGAGAATGGTGGTTTGAGTAGGTGTTATATAGTGAGTGAGGTGATAAGAAACAGCTGTGTGCAATGAGTGCAAACAGTGCAGTGTGCAAACCGTGCAATGAATGATGGGATATGTAGTCCGGGGTGCTATGCAACAGTTTGTGTTGTGCGAGAGTCAGTGTAATGGAAAGGGTGACCTCTGGTGGTGAATAAACGGAAGTCCATGGACTGAATTCATGACACCACTTATTACACAGCTTTTAACCACATAAATAATTATAGGAAAAAGAGGTATTGATTTAAGATGAAAATGTTTGTTTATTATTTTATAATCAATTATTGTGTACAAAGTAATCATCATAGCAAGGAGATAAACACAGCAGCAATATTAAAGTACTGTTAATACTGAAGTCCTCCAATTTAATTTTTAATACAATTGTTAATTATAACAAGATAGCAGCAGCTGCTTTTAAATAAAAACAAGAGAGAGCGAGATGCCTGAATGAGCGGTATGTTATTCAGTGTTGCGACTGACAAATGGTTGTTATTGGGAAGTAACACACCTCGAAATGTCATGACTGACCAATTATAATCAAGAATTCCAGAGAGCTGTGAAATAGATTAAAATAAAAAAGTATTTTAAATTATAAAGCTGTTTCACAATATTACCTTTTTTACAGTGTTTTTTTTTAATCAAAGGAATGCATCCTTGGTGAGCATATAAGACTTTCAAAAACATAAACATATCTTATTGACCCCAAACTTTTAAATGGTAGTGTACAACTTCTAAACTTCCATATCAACAATTTATTAAACAATTGGATTTCATGTGCATAATAAAATACTCCCTGTAGTCCAGATGTGTATGCCAGCAACCCGACCTTTGCTGAAAGCTTTACAAACCTAAATTGTATCACCGTAATTTTCAGATTGGCAGTCATGTGTGATACTAGCTAATGTAATTGAACTAATAGCCCTGCTGTTGAGTTCGAAATGGATGTGGCTTAATGAGAAGACCGACTATATTTACTAGAAGTTTTTGCATTGTCGTCTCACTAACTTTCTCACTAGCTGATTTATTTCCTTTGAATTTAACGTTTGTTGTAGGAAACCAGGTGGATGTATGTCTGATGCCGATGATGTAGATTAATGAGGCTTAAGTGCAAACTAAACTGCAAAATCAGCATCATTAGCGCACACTGGGACAATTTATAATTATTAGTCTAGTCGAGAACTTGGATACTTCGTCTTTGCCAATTCAGTGTTTTGGCTTCTTGATCAATCAATGCCATAAGTTCTTAAGATGACAGCCATTTGACAGAGCAGAGCTTCTCACATCAGTTTTGCTGCACTTTTCCTTTCTTCAAAGCATTTATAAGCAGGAACCCAGATACATGTTCATGTGCCTGTGAAGACAGACCTGTTCTGCAGTAGTGGGGCTGAACAGCATGTGGACCATTAGACTCTATTCTCCCAGCTGCTGTTTGTGTGTGCCAGATTTCTCTTGCTGCTGCTGACAAACCATGCAGACAGAAAGAGAGTTCAAAGGCGTTGGAAGGAGAATTTGCAATCTCATTTTTGCTGGTGTAATCAAAATTGGAGCTCTCTGTCACACCGAAAACCATTTGTCTGGGAATTGAGGACTTTCTTACCCCTGAGGTCTCACTGGCCCTAAGACTTTGTCATCTAAATTGACGGAGGATGTGATTTTGAGCCAGCATATAATTTCATTCCCACCCTACAGGCCTGCATCTCCTTTTTGGAAAGAAAAATGGCCATGGTGTGGGAATGAGACATTCCAGTATAGACAGTAATGCAAGATTGAAGAATTGTTCCTGAAAGATAATTTATTTCACACATAAGAGAATTGTCTTTTCTGAGCAATAAGTGCAGTGACGATCTGTGAATCTATTTGTTTCCCACACCATTTGCAATCAATATCATCTGTTAAGTCTCGAATGGGATTTTATTTGCTCATTTTGCTGTTAAGGTGTGAATTCTTAAAGCAGAATCGTAGTAGTTTTGTATATGTGATGTACATTACATGGCAAAAAATGGACTCGCATGATGAACAGATTTAGCGAATTCAACTGCATCCATTATTAAACGTGCATAAAATTGGTTTTGAAAAGAAATGTTCAGCAAATGCATATGGATGTAGTCATTGACTGTCCACAATCCACATATTTCTAGCCAATGCTGATAGGACTACCTTTATTGTAATGCATATTAAATCAGATTTGTTGAAAAACATTCTGGTGTCCATGTGAAGTAATCCCATTATTAAACGTGCATAAAATTGGTTTTGAAAAGAAATGTTCAGCAAATGCATATGGATGTAGTCATTGACTGTCCACAATATTTCTAGCCAATGCTGATAGGACTACCTTTATTGTAATGCATATTAAATCAGATTTGTTGAAAAACATTCTGGTGTCCATGTGAAGTAATCAGCATTCACTGCATGTTTGCATTGATTGATTCCTTCACCCTGACTCTCAAAGATGAGAGAGGGCTCCAGTAATTCACCTGGTTATCATTGACTAAACGCCTTTCTTTTTCCTTTCTTGTCTCCTTACAGCTCAGATCGGCTTATTGATGACACAATAAGGTGAGTCTAACTTCATACAAACAGTTCAGACACTTCTTACACAGGATATACACTCATAAATGGCAACAGTTTTCATTTGTATTTGTTTTTTTAAAATATCTGGTCTCTTCTGAAGAAGAGCCTGCCAAGGATCATGAACTCAAGGAGAAAGATCTCAGTTGATTGAGGGATAAAAACAACTGAACCATTGCTTTTGCATTGAGTTGATATTGCTAGTTTAGAACTGCAAGTGGATTTAGACTATTAAAGTTCAAAAATGAAAATGCTGTCATTTATTAACCCTCACGTCATTTCAAATCTTTCTTCTGTGGAATTTTGAAAAATACACTAAATTGATTTCGACATAGTGAAATTCAAAGGGGACCAAAAGTGTTAAGTATTTTTTATATATATATTATTGTATTTATTAATATTTTGAAATTGCTTTTATTTTATATTTTTCAGTGTTCATTTTAATGTTTGATATTTAGTTCATTTTTGTGCTTTTTATTATTATTATACTTTTTTTTTCATTTTAATTTTTAGGTTCAAAGTCTAGTTTTAGTCATTGTTTATTTCCAGTTAGTAATTGTAGTGCTTTAACTTGCTTTCATTTAGTTTGTTTTTCTCTGAATATTTATATTTTCTATATTTCAGGCTTATTTCAATTAACTAAAATATTTTTAATAGTTTTTAGTTCATTATAATAACTCTGGGCCAAAACAACACTAGACCCCATTGACTTCAATTGTATAAACAAAAAAACACATTTTCAAAATATGTTCTTATGAGTTCTGCAGAAGAAAGCAAGTCATTCAAGTATGGAACAACATGAGAGTGAGTAAACAATGAATCAGAATAATTTTAGGTGAACTACCCCTTTAAGGGAAACTAACAGAAAAGCGTGTCATTTGCATGAATCTGCCAGTTTTGCCTTTTTTCCCGAGGTGCTTTAGTAGTGAATATTGTGCTGCTGGGCACTACCGTCTTTCCCTCCCTGCAGATCTATGCTTGGACATAAGAGCAGCCTACACTTTTACTGCCGCACCTAGGGGAACCCCACAGCTGGCAACCAGCACTGGTGCTTAATTAAGTCGGCTCCTGGTCCGTGCAGCTCTTTTTATCCCACCACAGTCTTATTCAAGCAAAAAATTATGCTATATCAGCTGCTTATAATCAGTATCTTCCCTTTGTACCACCCACAGCCAGGAGCCACCAAGATGAGAGCTCATTGTTTAATGTTTCATCATAGCTCTGATCTCTGAGGAGTGTGGGTGCTCACATTTCTCTTTTAATGATGTCAGATTGGTCTTCCATCTGTCACAAGCAATACTTTAAGAGGTATACCTCCTTGCAGGTAACACATTCAAATACACACCCAAATATGAAGTTTAGGAGATCCGATTAAGCTTGTGTGTTCTTCATTTCGTGGTGTACAGATGCTCAGGAGTATGGGCTGAGAACAAAAGTTAAACAGATGATAAAGGCCATGTATAGATGTGTCACCACAAAAACTCATATCAAAATAACTCCTTGTTTGTGACCGAGGGCACCTAGGAGTACAAAACACTGGAGACCTTTTGTTCCCTCAGGGTGCACTGTCTTGTTTAATGTGCTTTATGCCTTGTTTGTGTGAGTGGGGTTTGGCTGCCTAATTTATCCTCAGAGATCAAGAAACTAGCACCTCAGTGGTCAGTGTATTGCACACTGCTTTAAAGCTCTAATTTCACAGGTTTTGCCTCAAACACATTCTGGTTGAGGTCTGTTTTATGTGGGTGTGATAGATAAGCTCTCCTGTTCATTATTATTGAGGTGAAGGGGTCTGCTTGAGCACTTGTGGTGAACTATATCTAATGGCTTCTGTTCCGCAGAGTAGGGCAGACAGGAGTTTAATGGGTGCCAGTGCTTTGGCTTGCACTCACAAACCTGCTGAGTTGGAGTGAGCCGTGGTGTCACACAGCAATTTAATCTTCTCCACTAAGAACAAGAAAGCACGACTCAACTGAAGAAAACAAATAAGTGGTGGGACTGGACCTACCCAACAGTGTAATTACAGCATTCAACAATACAGAATTAAAATGCATTAAAGGGATATTTCACCTAAAAATTTATTTACTGACCCTCGTTTCGGTCCAAACCTTTCTAATGTTCTTTCCATTATAAAGCAACCCTACACATTAGGGATGTAACGATTAACTGCGAGCCGGCTGAAAATCGATTAAAATATGTGACGATTCAAATCGGTTGAGATGCTAAACAAATCGCGATTCTGTTAGGGGTAGGAGTTTATATACATGTCTGAGGGGAACTTACTGTCTTTAGAAAAGTTTAGATGGTATTTTTTCTTTTCATCTTGCCTCTGTATAATGCATATTAAAGTTAATAAGTTCAGCGCTGCTTTGTTTACAGCAGAAACCAGGAAACACTTTAAGTGCCACCTGCTGGCAGAGAGTGCATCTGCGTCTCATTCAGCTCTGCTGTTTCATGCAGATATTTTTATTTATAGTTTCACAAAACTGAAGTCAAACCATTCTGTTTTTGCTTCAAATTTCGAAACTATACTATACAAACTAATTTAGTTTAAAAACTGCTCATGTTGCATGTATGCAGCATCTTTGTTTGGATCATGATTAAAATGCAGTGTTTGCCTCTCATTTTAAAAGGAAAGAGCAGAGAAAAAGCCTTATTTTGTTTATATGAAGATATTTATTTTATTTGTGTTACTTATTTAATTTGGGGCTTGTTTTAAAATTTCAATGTAGTTTTGTTATTTACATTTACATTATATTTACATTTTGTAATTTAGCAGACGCTTTTATCCAAAGCGATTTACAAATGAGGACGATAGAAGCAATCAAAACCAACAAAAGAGTAATATGCAAGTGCTATATTAGTATATTATTATAGTGTTATATTTCAATTTGACAAAGAAATGTGCAGCATTTTGTCCAAGCAATAATAAAAGGACACATTTAATTTATAATTTGTCTTAAATCTCATTTTGTTAAAAAGAATTATAATAATCGTGAATCGAATCGTGAAATCAAAATCGTGAATCGAATCGAATCATGAGTTGAGTGAATCGTTACATCCCTACTACACATTATAAATAAGTCACAGTCATAAATAAGTTAGGAATAACATGTGTGAGTAAATGATGACAGAATTTTCATTTTTGGATGAACTGTGCCTTAAGCTAGGACAAATAATGGCTTTTGCAGGAAAACCTCTGATTTGTCCAAAATATGAGGTGTTTACTTTCTGCAGCGTCAATGGAAATAGATATGTAATGGTTGGTCACTTTTCTGCATACTTTTGGTTTCTAGCTGTGTGTGGCTAATGTCTCTGGAGCATTACATTAATGCAGCTTCTGCCTTCCTGTCTGAAATCAAACCTAGTGAAAGAGACATTTGCTGTCTTTGAGGGACTTTTTCCTGCGTCTGCAGTCCTGACAGCTGCTGCGCCCTTGACGCAATGATCGGAGCACTTTTTGACCACTTCCAGTGCATATGTGCTGTGATGGGACAGTGCCAATAAATCTACTCTTCTGTTTTTATTTATTTAATTTTTTTGTTGTCCACAGCATTGCAATGGCAACCAAGGAGAACATGACCTCCCAGCGAGGTTTGTTGAAGTCTATACAAAGCAGGGTCAACACCCTGGCCAGTATCCTTGATTTCTACAAGGAGCTCATGTATGCATTAGGGCTGCATAATGTATCAGTGCAATATTGGTTTATTGGTATCTACCTACTTTGGATATGTAAGTGGATATGCACATTTCCCCTGTTTTTACATTTAGATTACCTTTGTCATGGAGCACTCCCCAAGTTAAAAACACAAATCATTTATTAACACTGTTAAATGTAATCTATCGTATCAACATCAGAATTGTAAGGCCTAAATTGTAATATGCCATGAAAAATGCTTGCTGTCTGTATTTGAGGCAATGCAATCTGCTGTATCCCTGTATTTCCTTAACTGACCCCTACTTCAGACCGTTTCCCTGCCATCAATAACCTAATACAGCGGATCAACTTGAGGAAGAGACGGGACTCATTAATTCTAGGAGGAGTCATCGGCATCTGCACCGTCCTTCTGCTGCTGTATGCATTTCACTGACGGGCAGGGGAGCTAACCGACTTCTTTTGGGGGGTGTTCTGCGGAGCAGTGGCGTAGCCTTGAGAAAGGGCTAAATGAGAGGCGGACCATTGGTGCCACAAAGCAGAAGCCCACTTGGCCTAGTCTGGTAACAGGATTGATTGTGGCCAGCATGGACCATATTTGTATTTAGCATCGGAAGGGGTTTAGCTCTAACAGCCTTTTTTTGTTTCTGTACTACAAACAATGCGCTGTTCAGATGTGAACTGGAACCGGAGACCAAATTACTAACAGGAATAAATTTCAATGAGCATAGTATAACACAGTGGCTTTGAGACAAGAGCGATGCTGTGAAGCATCAACTTTGCGTTGTGCTGTTCCTGTATATTATTAATCGGAAGAGGATTTTAATTTGATGATCCTTTTAGTAAGAGGGTTTCTCATCATGCTGTGTACTTTGTGAATTAATAAATTATTCATATACAGGATATTAAAAATGTGTGTCAAACACTAGAGGTCTGTCCTCCTAAAGCTTCTATTTTTTAGATATTTCTAAACTCTCTCATCGATGACATTTTACACTGGAGAAGGCAGTCCAAAAATAAAACACTTGCATTGCAGCGCTTGACATGTTAACCCTTCTCTTTCAAGGTGCTGTTGCTTTATGCTTTTACTGATGTGTCTTTAAGTTGAGAGCAGGTTCAAGTTAAGTATATCTGGCTAAACCAACAAGCCTGCGCTCGCAGCCCACTTGTCTGCTGATTTGCATCCTATGCAAAAAAATTTTTGCTAAAAAAAATCTTTCTTCCTTTTTCCTTTGTTCCCTGTTGGTCCATTATCTAAAGGTCACGTGAGTCTCCTACTGTTCCAGTCCATACATTGACCAAGTGCCCTGAAATGCAGAACAAATGTTGAGGGACTAAGGGTCTATTACAGATAAAATGAACCTCATTGACCAAAGGTTCATCACAAATCTCCAAAAAAGGTGTTTCTCGCCATACTTTCAGAGAGTGTATTGTATTATTGGTGGGTTTTGTGGGAACAGCACTAAGTCACAAATGAGGTACCTTGTTGTTTTCTCTGCCTAAATGTGTCTGTAGGAGAGGTACTGCAGCTGTCATTTGGAAGCTAATAGGCCACACACAGAGCTCCACAGGAAGCCTCCTCACTTCCCCTGCTGACTGAAACATGTTCTCTTTACACCAGCCCAGAGAATAAATGAATAAATCTTTGTCATCTCCGCATTGTTTTATTTTGCTCTGTATGTTGCCTTATTTTGTTCTTTCCTAGTGTTCTTATGATGGGACTCCTACCTGATCTGAGGTGAGAACGGAGACATCACACACATTACCTGCTCTGCTATTCATGAATTTTGAGGTATGATGGCTCTGGGATATTTTAGGGTTTTTATTCCTTTGCTCTGTTGAGGTCAAAGTAGACTGCTAGCAAAACTGTTTTCTGAATGTAGCACTAAACAATGAAGGCCTTTCTGCTTAATTTCATCAATAGCTGCAGCTGTGTAGTAATGCGTGAGTGAGGGGGTCATGTAATTCTTGGTTTCCTGGGTGGCTTTCCAAAAGATGCAGAGTAGTCAGTGAGTCTGAAACTGGAGACAGAGATCACAATCTTACTTTGTCACCGCTGTGCCCTTGAGTGAGACACTTAACCTGAAGTTATTCCAGGGCAACTGTAGTGACCATCATCCTACATCAGGAGTGTCCAGTTCTGCTCCTGGAGGGCCAATGTCCTGCAGAGTTTAGCTCCTTGCCCCAACACACTTACCAGGATGTTTCTTAGTTTACAGTCTTTGTTGGTACCATCCCTACTCTTGAACTAAACCGTAAAGAGGACATTTATTTATTGGTACTTGTGTTACTGCACCAAAAATTGATGTTGATGCAAAAAACACGTACTACAGCACTTGTGTAAATCATATTAACCACATTTTAAGCCACACGAGAGGAATATGGAAATTTCACCCAGTGCATTCAAAACCTAACTAGCTGGCTGAGAAATTCCTAGGCTGGTGCATTGCCACTAAAGGTTGTTTTAGACCAGTGGTTCTCAACATTTTTTACTTCAAAGCCTCCCATTGTCAACAACAATATTCAAAGGCCCTTAAATGACTTTTCCAGTTGATTATGATTTACTAATTTCTACCTGATAAAATATTTTGGAGTCAAGTCAAGTCACCTTTATTTATATAGCGCTTTTAACAATACAGATTGTGACAAAGCAACTGAACAGCATTAATTAGGAAAATAGTGTCAATAATGCAAAATGACAATTGTAAACACTCATTTTTCAGTTAAAGACAGTTCATCATTGAATTCAGTGATGTCAACATCCAGCTCAGTTCAGTTTAAATAATATCTTTGCAATTATGTCAACGATAACGCTGGAAATAAAGTGTGACATGCATATGCATAAAAATGTATATCAATTATAAAAATGCTCATGGAGATTTTAATTTACAAGACTTTTCCTGCTGTTGAAATTAGGCTGATATTTAAAACTCTGTATTTTTTATTTTACAACACCATGTTTTAAAGAGAAAAAAAACTTGAGCGAGAGAATTAAAATGAAATATCTTGATTTTTAGCTGTTTTTTTATTTTTTATTTTAATGTTTGTTTAATCTTAAGTCATCATTTTAAGTCATCTTGAGTGTGCCTCAGCCCCAGATTGAGAACCATTGTTTTACATGACAAATATCCATGTTAGGGTTTCTTGGTCAGTAATATGTCGCATTTGTGAGATTGTGATAGAAAAGTCGATGCAGAATTACATTAAAGGGGTCATATGGTGTTACAAGCTCTTGGTGCATGAAGAAGATCTGTAAAATTGCAAAGACTAAAGTCTCAAATCCAAAGAGATTTTTTATAAAAGTTGAGTCAACCACGCCTACCTAAAACGGCTCGTTCTAACATGCCCCCACATGTCTACGTCACGATGTGAGAAGATTTGCATAACGCCGCCCAAATGTTCACGCAAAGAAAGAAGGCATAACTTTTATTCTCGCTGTAGTATTGTTGCTGCCACCATGTCGTTAAGATGCTGTGTTTCGTTGTGAAAGCGAAACTACTTTGTTTGGCCTTCCAAAAGAGGACACGACTAGAAATCAGTGGTTAAGTTGTATTTACAACACTGTTCCAGAACAGTTCAACCCAAATATTCAGATGTGTGCAGCACATTTTATGGAGGACTGTTTCCTGATCCTGGTAGAGTAGACTACAATGCCGGCTGTTCTGACTCACAGACTGTAAGTACGTTTTTTATATTTAAAGAATTTGCCACTGATGATTCAAAAGCGAGTTTTGAGCAGTGTAGAGTAGCGTTTGTTGTTTGTCATTTCTCTGATCACAAATGCAGACATGGTTTTATATTTACGCGGCGCGATGCAATGCGTAAAAGACAGTATAAGTCATTATAATCAGTAATTATGTCCCCACTGGATGCAACAAATGCCTCGTTTGTAATGGGTTTTCATGTTTTTGAATCGTCGCTCCGGCCGGACAGGGCATCATCACAGTATGGTAGGGG